CCTCCCCGCACCTCGGGTCGCTTGACTCCTTTGTGACCCCCTCGCTCCAGGCTCCCCGCACTCTCTCCCCCCACTCCTGGCTCCGCTCAGTCTCCCACCTGTCTGGTTCCTCTCTCCTGCTCATCAGCCAAAGAAGAGGGGYAATTTCCTCCYTCCCTTGTAAAGATACAAACTTACAATCTCACGGCCTATGTGTCCTGCTCAAGCCCAAATTTCTTGTGCGYGTGTTTTCCACACACCTGCACCCCTGGCACGGGGTACCCGCGCGCTGCTCCGGCGAGGCGGCTCCCTGCAGCTCCCCCTGCACCCCGCTGCAGCACGGGGACAGCCCCCCGTGGCACTACGCACTCGCCCAGCGCCGTCCCCTGCTCTTTGGTGCCACAGGTCCTCGTGCTGCACGCGACTGGGACTCTCAGAAGCTGCCACGCTGCAGCCCAACGAGACAGCTTGCRAGTGGCTTGCACAGCTGGGCACCTGGGCTGCTGTGCTGCTGGCKCCCTAAGCGGAGAGCTGGAGCCCCTTCTCAGCTGGGAAAAGCAGAACGGGTCTGCTCTGTGTTCCCTTTCTGCCCACCCAAGAGGCGTGCGCAGCGTCCTCCCCTTAGGTTAAASGCAGAAGCCGCTGTTGTGCGCAGCCTTGGTGCAGGGATCCCAGTGCTCTGCAAGCAGGAGGGGAGGCGGAGGTGCCGGTCGGACGGCACCGCCAGGTCCAGGGCCCAAACCGGGGCTCCCTGGGGCTCCCCAGGGCTCCCAGGAGAGTCCCAGAGTGCGGCTGCCCCGCCAGCCACCCACCGCTTCCCAAGACTGCTTCCCGCTCCGCTGCTCCCGTGTCTGCTCGGCAGGAGAAAGAGGCCCCTAGTTGCACAGAGCGACTGTGCACGTGGCTTCTGCTGGAGGGCGAAGGCTACAGGGGGCTGTGGGCGGAACCGGAGAGTCGGGCACCTYCGGGGAGCAGCACTTTAGTTACAGGTCTGGGAAGTGGCGCAAGAAACTCCAGCATTAACTGCGCGGCTTTGGCATGGCTTAATTGAAGTTTAATAACTCCTTTGGCAGCCTTTTCTATCTTTGGTACCGTCCTGCCCTCTGCCCCCTTCAGCCGCAGCCCGCGCTCGCTGGAGGAAGCCAAGGGTCTTTGTGGGCTTTGCATTGTCAGAAGGAATTAGGAGGTTGTTACCAAGCAGGAGGAGAAATTAAACAGCAACGCTCGGCTGCCGAGCAAGAGGCCCTAATCTGGGCAGCCGGAGCCCACAGATGACTGAAACGGCTGGAACGGCTTCATGCAATCACGGAGCCTGCCTCTTTCACTAAGGCTGTTATTAATTGCATCAGTCAGCTGAATATATCGCTTCCAGCTCTGTATTTCCGAGGAACACAGGCAGCAGCCTGGAACAGGCCCATCTAGATGGAAATCCGCGGCCGGCGGGCTCCGCGCCGGCTGCTGGGTGCACCCGCAGGCGGCAGCACCCGCGGAGCGGCATGAGGCCCCTCGCAGGGCCACAAYAACCAGGGGCTCCTGCCAAGCTGCTCCTGCCGCCCCCGGCTGCCCCCGCTGCCGCTGCCGCGCCGAACCGGCCCCTTGCTGCCCGGGGATCAGGCTGCCAGCCGCAGAGCACCTGCTTTCCAGGTGCATATGGGAGCTCCGACACTTGCAAAATAACTGCAGGCACCAGACTGTGCATGCAAAATTGAGTGCCTGGTGGCATGAAATGCTCTCTGTGAAATTAAACTTTAAGTCTCAAAGAGCAGAATTTTCCCGAGATGKTTGTATGTGCATTGAAATGCAGAAGGGCCCGAAGCTGTTTGTCTTAGGAATTTAATGAAAATACTTTGTTTATTGCAATGCGGTGTGTGTGTGAATTATAGGTGTACATAGCGGCTGAGAAATCGAGCGCGCCTCGGCGTGCGCTGCCTGGGGGACTGCTCCGAGGCACACCGGTAGTGCTGGGAGCAGGGCCGGCACGCCAGGAAAACCCGGCCCTGCTTCCCTAGCGGCGCGAGAGCCCTCCGCACCGAGGTCGTGGGTGACGTCCCGGCACGCGGAGCACCCTGTCCCTGCAGGGCCRCAGCCCGGCTGCACCTCGCCCCGCCAACACCGTGCCAGACAGAGCTGCTTAAATACCACCAGACAGAGCATTACTCACAGGAAAATGAGGCCTTAAATGTCATTATTTGTGTCATTATTAATAGCCCCTAATTGTGTTCTCTWATCATCATGAAATTATGTTAATATTAATATTCACATCAAAACTGCCTAGGGAACTGGGACAACTACTTTTTTTAAAAAAATCCTGCCATATGTCACTTGGCATCACYGCGAAACACTGGCTTTGGTGCCTCCTAGATCGCATGCAAGGCAGGGAGGGCGAGCTGGGCATGCGGCGGGGTGTTCTCCGYACCCTCTCCGTGTGGGAAAGTGCTCCGGAGCACCCAGGAACTGCCTGGGACAAGCTCCCACGGAGAGATGCTGCTGCAGAGAGCAAGCTGGGGACCGCAGTGACAGCCAGCCCCTTGCCCAGTGACGATGCTCATGACAGGGGCTGTGCAGGGGCCTTTCCCGCGCGCACGGTCACGTGCCACTCGCGCTCCCGGTGATGCTCGCACGCCGTGGGTAGCGGTGCCCGCTCCCGGGCTGCCAGCGCCRCGATAAGCCTTGCCAGATGAAGAGGGGAATGGGCAGGTGGCAGGCAAGAATTTTCCTGGGGAAAAAAAAAAAAAGTTAATCAAAATAAATCACTCCCCTCGCACTTTTCTGCAGCTCCATTGTCCAAGCAGCTCGACTTGTAAGTATCCAAATGCCTTACTTAATAAAACAGAGAGGTTTCCAAGTGCCAAACTATTATGACTTGAGTTAACTATAACTCGGAGCATTTGCAGCGCTCCAGAGGCGCGTGCGGGGAGCCGGCAGGGAGCACAGCTCCCGGCAGGGCCCTGCACCKCGCTGAGGCCCGAGGTGCCCTCCCGGGTCCGGTTCCGCCGCCGCCTCCGCGGCTGCCCGTGGCGCTGCGCGGGGCCCGGCCGCCCCGAGCACCCCCGGCGGCACCCGGGGACCCCCGGTCCTCCCGCGGCCGCCCCCCCGGCGCCGCACTCCCCGGTTCCAGCCGCTTCGTCACCCGGGCCGGCGGCGTCCTGGCAGGGCCCGCGGAGCCCGCGGCCAGGGCGGCTCTCCCCCGGGACCGGGACGTTTCCAAGGTGTTTAACACTTTCCCGCGAAAGATTTTCCCATAAAATATTAATGACGTATATATAATCTAATTGATTCCTTGGGGCAATAACCTCTGACAAAATGGCCCTGATTAGGAGATAATTGAGTGTGTTGAATTGCGTCCTGAGAGAGCTTAATGTTGACAAGGGCCATTATGTCGGGCTAATGACCCCCTTTTGTCAGGTGCTTGTGCCATTAGGAGACACTTTGGGGGGAATGCTTCCTTCCCAGCAGCTCCTTTGTCTCGTTCGCGGGGCCCGTTTCGCGGAGCCAGCGCCGTTTGCCGCCCCGGGGAGCCGCGCACGGCCCGTCTCACGCGCCGGCCCCGAGCACCCGCCCGCGCGGGGGCCCCAACCCGCCCAGGTCACCCCAAATCCTCCCGCGCATGCGGGAAGGCGGATTTTCTTTCCTTTTCCCCGGCGGCTCCGCGTGGCGCTGCTCGCAGCCGCCTCGGAGCCCGGCTGCCCGCGAGAAGCCCCGCGCGAGCCCCCAGGGACGGCCCGGAGCGGGACGGGGGCAGCCAGGGCGCCGCTGGCCGCCGGGCGCCTCACGGACACGCCGGGGCCCGGACACGGACACGCCGGGGCCGGGGTGAGCTGAAGAGCCCGGTGCAGAGCCCGCGCCCCGCTGTGCCCACACTAGCAACTAGCRCCTCGCCAGCAACAGGGGGTTCACCCGGGCTGTCGGCAGAGCCAGGGGGCTCTACATGTAACCCCCACCCCTTGTCAGCCGTGGGGCTGCTACTTGCGGCCGCAGCCGCCTGTTCCAGCACGGCCGGGGCCACGGCGACGCTCCCCGGCGGGGAGGCGGCGGCGGCAGCCCGGGGACAGGAYGGGCAGGACATTGCCGGGGTTCTCTGGGAGCGAGTGGGGCGCCTGGGAAGGCCACGGGGGAGCCCGGAGCGAGGGCAGAGGGASGCAGGCGGCGGCGCASCCGCAGGCCCGGCYGTGCTCGCGCTCTCCCCAGGCGCGCGCGCCGACGGACACTCAAGAAAGCATTAATGTAAGACACCATTGATTTCAATTTATATTAATACACTGTGCAGTGAACTGAGATGGCTGAWTCACAGTCCTCATCAGATTTCACTGTGCTGGGGAAATCAGATCCCCTGGTTCACTGTAGTTTAATTATAAGCAAATTGTAAGTGAATTAAGATAAATCGAATTAGAACCACTCTAATACTGAGTAAGAACACCCACAAAGGAGCTCGCTAGGGTTTAACTAACCCACTCCAGGAGTTAATTTGGATTCATGGGCCTGACTGTCCCCACATGGACCAGTGCTCGCACAAAGGCCACGTTTGGAGCTGGTCCCCGTGCCTCCGCTGTCTTTCCTGGGACTTGCGGGAATCCCGGGAACGGCCGCGGAGGCAGCGGGTCTCTGCGGCTCAGGCGGCAGCAGCAGCGRCCAGGGCACCGAAACGGCCACCGAAACGCGGTGGTTACGGATCCGCGCAGCGCCCGCGAGGCGGCCGGCGGCAGCGGCCACCGGGACGTTGTTGCAGCAGCRGAGCAGCGAGGACCCCGCTGCTCCGGCGTTTCCGAAGGGTGAGCGGCAGGAAGGCTCCCTGCCTATSGAAAAGCACAGGGCAGCCCTTGGGCTGCTGCTGGATCTCCAGGACCTGGGGCTGCCATCGGGCTGATGCCCCCTCCTCCGGTGCAGTTCTGCAGAGCCTAATTGACACATCTGTTTTTAAGAGCCGGAGCCGGAGCGTCCCCCTGGCCTCCCTGCAGCTGAGGCAGCGAGCGCGCACGGGCAGGGCCGGCCGCAGCCTTTCTGGGGGGCCGCAAACCAGCAGAGATGGGAAAAAAATAGGAGCAGCCTGTTAAAAAGTTTTCTGGGCATCAGAGCTTCTACATCAAGTTGTGGCAACAATACGGAATTTCTGTCTTCCTTTYTGTCTTGTGATTGTGCTGAAAATCTCCCGCTGAGCAGAGTGAATCACTGTCAGGCAAAATCCGCCCTGAAGAGTTTACAGTCCAAACAGYGAGCTAGAGAAAGCCGGGGAGAAAAGAGGTGTCATTATCCCGGTGACGAGCGCAGGAACACACGGTCCGAGCGGCGGAGGGGGGTTCGCCGGAGCTGCCGAGCGCCCCAAGGTGCCCTCAGTTCTGGTGCTCCCCGCGGAATCAGCGCGGCCCTCCCCTCGGCGGCTGCGGGCAGCCCGAGCAGCGCGCGGAGCTGGCCCCGCAACRTGCGCGTCCCAGGGGCTCCTGCGGCCGCTGGCCCGCCGGGGTCCCCCGGAGCCCGCAGCCGCGGGGACCCGCGTGCTGGGGCGCTGCCCACCGGGCCCCTCGTTGCTGCTCCCCTCGCCTTGCCTTCCCCCCTTTATAAAGTTTGCATTTCGAGCCTGCTTGTCATATTTCCTACCGGATTGGGTGTTTAATTAAAATCATAATTAAAATTGATCTCCTCATTAGCATGCACCTGCTCTGCCGCTCGCGTCCTGGCATTTAATTATACRCTGAAGATGTCAAGCCTGACAGGCGACAACGAGACCCGGCCGGCAACCCCTGACGGGGCTTCCCGGGGACGGCGGGCGCCCACGTGCCGCGCCGGCCTCGC